ACAGGTTCTTGCTCTTGCCCAGACTGGTCTTAAACTTCTGAGCTCAAGAAACTCACCTGCCTCCACCTCTAGAATGCTAGGTATGAGCCACTATACTGGGTCTGCGAGGGATTATTCTTAAGATATTCATCATTGCTTGTTTGCTGCTCATAAGCAAGAGAGCTTTGCAGATCTTCTGGCCTTTCTGAGTAGTTCTCAGATGTGTGCTACTGAAGCATCTTTTGAAACTTTGAGTGTGAGGGGTGGACAGCACATTTGTGGGAATCTGACTTTTTGTGCAATTTGTGTTTAGGCCACAGTGAAGATCTGACCTCACGTAGTCATTTTCGTGACGATACCTCAGATCCATCGCCCAAGAGAGCCCGTTATGATACCCCGGATCCATCTCCTCCCAGGAGGGCCCGTCACGATACCCCGGATCCATCTCCTCCCAGGAGGGTCCGTCACGACACCCCGGATCCACCTTCTCCCAGGAGGGCCCGTCACGACACCCCGGATCCGTCTCCTCCCAGGAGGGCCCGTCACGACACCCCGGATCCATCTCCTCCCAGGAGGGCCCGTCACGACACCCCGGATCCATCTCCTCCCAGGAGGGCCCGTCACGACACCCCGGATCCATCTCCTCCCAGGAGGGTCCGTCACGATACCCCGGATCCATCTCCTCCCAGGAGGGTCCGTCATGATACCTTGGATCTTTCTCCTCGTAGGCGAGTCCGTCATGATACCCCTGATCCATCTCCTCCCAGGAGGGCCCGTCACGATACCCCGGATCCATCTCCTTCCAGGAGGTCCCGTCGTGATACCCCAGATCCATCTCCTCCCAGGAAGGTCCGTCCTGATTCTCTGGATTATTCTCCCCCCAGGAAGTCTCATCGTAATTCTACAAGGGTATCTCCTAGGAAAGTCCATCATGACTCATCGGATCCATCTCCTCATAGGAGAGCCCATCACAATTCCTCAGATGTCTCTTCCCCTAGAAGGGCCCATAACAGCTCCCCTGACGCATCTCAGCCTAGGAGGACTCTTGACTCCTTGGACACACGGCAGCTCAGGAGGGCCCGTCATGACTGTCCTGAAATGGCACCTGATGTCACTCGTTCACTGCCCAGAGCCAAAAGCAGTAAAGCCCCAGAAAGAACCTCTAGGAAGACTTCTCCCCATCAGAAGGGGCCACTGCCAAAGTCCATCAAACAAGAATATGACTCAGACCTCTCTCCTCCACGAAAACAAGCAAAATCCCATTTTGGAGATAAGAAGCAGCCTGATTCTAAAGGTGAGCATATGACTGTCCCTGAGAGCTTTCTTATGGACCTTTACTTGCTGAGAATGGAGTTTCTTTGGAAAAGTTTTGAAAAATGGGAGCCTGGACTCAGGAAGAGTTAAAAAATTACAGTGGCAGGGAGGTACGTTTTTATATATCCTTTTGTTTACTCTCTCTACCTCATAAAAGTACAACATGTCTATTGCAGAAACTTTAGAATGTACAGAAAATATAAAGAAGCAGAAAAAAGTGACATACATTCTGTTACTCAGAGGCAGTCATTGGTAATTTTTGATGTAGTCGGCTATGTAGAACATACATATTGTATGTGTAACGTTGCCTGCTTTACTTAATACAATCTACTTAACACAGTCTTTCTCACACTATAAAAAACAACTCTGTTAATATAATTTTTAATTGTGTTCCGTTACCTAAGTTTTTTTTTTTTTTTTTTTT